AACGTCGCCATCGCCGCCGCCACCGTCGTCGTCGTCGTCGTCGTCGTGCTTATATATAATACACGTCGCACACACTTTCACCCATATAATACCTCCTTCGTCGCTTATCTTGCATTCATGTTCTCTGTAATGCGCGGTGCATGGTGCAGCGCGGCGCGCAAGTCATACACGCGCGTATATACACATATGCACACGCGACAAAGGTCAAAATATACCGTGTGCAAAAGCTTATACGTACATATCGTGCCGGTTGTTGGACTCTGTATACAGTTTACACACATCGCTCGCGCTCGCAATTTTCATTGCGACGAATCGATCCGCGGTTATTATACTCGAAATGATTGCATAGAGAGCGATCGAGAGTCGTCGTCGTCGTCGCAACGAATATACTCCGGAAGCCGGTTCGTTGTATTCGTTTACACGCGTTGTGTGCGCATATATACACGTCGGCGCGCGTTATTTTGTTTACGGAAGCAGTATACGCGCGAGTATTTTTGCGTCGTCGCGTTGCACAGCAGCAGCAGCTCGACTTCAATTAACAACGGTGGCGGTAGTACTCGACGCGCGCGATATTAATAACGTATAAACATCGGCTGTACTGCGCTACGCACACGGCTCGATGCAGCATTGCAAGCGACATGTTTGTACAATAATACTTTTCCATCCGCGTAACGTATCATCGCGTGCCGGCAGTGAATTTTCCGCCTTCTTCGTCTTTTTATTTTTATTTTCATCCTGTTTTTATTTTTCGTTCTCGCTCTCCGTCCTGTGTGTATCGTATAGTGTTTGTGCGCGCATCAGCTGCAGCAGATCTCGCATGCCGATACACACACACGGTACAGCACACGCGCGCAGGAGGAGGACTCATTTGCTTCGTGGAGCGCGCGAGATGTTATTAGATGGATGCAATTAGTTATTCGAATGTAACGATGATAAACCGACGTTCTCTCTCTCTCTCTCTCTCTCTCACTCTCTATCTTTTTCATTCGCTTTTTTCTCTCTTCGTGCGCAGCTGTGCGTGTGTGTGTGTGTGTGCAGCAGCGGCAGCAACGTTACGCAACTGCAGTCGCGCCGAGCGTGAAATTTGCAATGCAAATTCGAGTTTTTCCGCGAAATAATCCTCTATATCAACACGCACGCGTACACACACAACACTCGGGGAAGCTGGCGCGCGCGTGAAAATAAGTACATTTCATAATTATATAGATATCGAATTTCCTCTTTTGTCACGTAGTGCGACGTGTAGAGTCTGCGGATATATCGTTATAATGAAAAGATCTCACATCTATACACACGCGAACACACACACACACAGGCAGTATAATATGCAAGCTCGTTTATGAGTGTATTATAAGTGTTCTGCTGCTGCTGCACAATACGTCCAAGAGTGTTTCGTATGCCTCTCTTGCAACAAAAATATAACGACATGTGCCATACGTTTTATAGTGTAGTGTATGCAATATATGTATATAGGAGCTACTGCTGCCTCTCGTGTGTGTGTATACGTACATACATGAATTATGAAAAGCTTCACAAGAGTGCAATTTTTTAGCCCATATGCCTCGTGTGTGCCTCGTGTATGTATATTTATTATCGCGGACTACGCACTTGAACGTTTCGAGCTAGTGCTGCTGCTGCTGGTGCTGCTCTGTGCATCTGCGAGTCTACGCGATGCAATGTCACGGTGATGCATTTCGGACCACGTGATGTATAGCGACAATACATGCATATGCATGAGCTAAGTGAGAGAGCGAATTATGCGCTATTGAGAGTTTTTTTTCCTTATAAAAGCGAGTTTTTATTCTGCCGCTTCTTCTTTTTTATGATTGTCGTTATTCTTTTGTGCATAGAGCACGAATGATATTGCAAATAAGAAGGAGAAGAATCGAGTATCAGCTTTGAGAAAATAAAAAAAGAATCAACGTTGCATGATTTTTTGCTTTTATTTATTCATCATCTTTATTACTCCAAGAGCACTCGCGAGAGTCGTCGTCGTCAGGTTATAGCAAAGAGGCACACGCGCAGAGTAGAGGAAAGTTTCCAATTTTACGAGGAACGAAAATCCAATCAATTTGCCTCACCGCCGCGCATATATACGATGATATATGTATAAAAGTATATAGCGCAGAGGCAGCAGAAGCCGAGCCAAGCACAAGCAAGCACACCCTCGTCGCAGTCGACGTCGCCCCATAAGGGAGGGGCGCATGCGCCCAAGGAGTCCGAGAGAATCCACCCTTGCTGGCTGGCTGCGCTACTGCTGCACGCGAGCGAGGCGAACAACACGCAGTGGCAGGTACTGCAGACTAACTCTCTCGACCCCTGCAACCTCACCCACGGCCCACAGACACACACGTATACAGCAGAGAGTAGTCGCACGTACAGAGAAACACACCGTGGAGAGAACGTAATAGACAGAAAATATCGAATCAGACATTACGTGCATGTATATGTGTATGAGAGAGGTATACGCACGCACACAGACACATCGCATACAAAATATGCGGAAAGCTACGCCAAGCCGAACGTTGTATATAAATTTCCTTCGAGATGAAAAAAATCGCGTGGCTCGACAGAGTGTGTGTGTGTGTGGGGGGAAGAGAAAAAAAATCTTCCGTCGTCCTCGCGGGCATATAGAAAATTTATATCTAATATACACGCGTCTATCGCGACTCGGCGAGGTAAAGAAAACGAGACTCCGTTTTCCCCCTACACGCACACAATGATATTACACTCGAGGATTTGTCACTTAAACTTGTCTGCATTCCTACGTCCGATTCTTTATTACCCGCTCTGTGGTGGTGCATGCGAGTTGATACACGAAGGAAGAAAAATAACATCTTCTTGGTCGATGAAGCATCACACCCAATGCCGCATGATATTACGAGTAGGCAGCACCCTCGTCTTTTGTTTTTGTACACGCAGGCACGCACACTTACACGACCGGGGTGCAAAGTAAACTCACAAGTGTGTGTTTGTGTATACAGGGGAGAGAAAGGAGTCGTCGGCCGCGCGCGTGTCGATCTAATATAATTGTACAATTTTTTCGACCCGCTCGATCGATGATGAGGCCTTAGTATACACGCATTTTCTCTCTTTCTGACAAATGTGTTTGAACTGTATCGGGGGTTATTTCAATCATTTCTCACGTGCATCGCGATATTAATACAATAACGTTAGGCCTTTTAATCAGTAGCAGCTCGGCAGGGTTCCTGTACATAATATGTAGTTCGTGATCGATATCGTGATGTACGTGAGGAATCGAGTTCGATATCATTTACCGTTCTCAATGAGTCATTGATTACGTTCTTAGATTACGAGTTTTTAGCCTTTTTGTTTTCGTCAGCTGCGTCAAGAGAACATCCCCTTGTGTTTGCGACGGGTATATTTTTCGGTACACCTGCACTTCGAACTCCGAGCTCCCGAGTGCACAAACCCGAGAGAGAGAGAGAGAGAGAGAGAGAGATAGAAGAGAGAGAAGATCCGCCCTTGTATAACAGAGAGAGTAGCGAATCTTTTGCCACTGCACATCGCTACTACTACCATCGACGTGCATACGCACACACTGGCACGTACCTTTACGCGAGTCATAAATATACGAGCGAAGTAAACGAAGTTAAAGGTGGATTTTTTTTCCACGAAATCATAATCACTGGCACTATATTCTTATTACTCCCTGTTAAAGCTGCTGCTGCTGCTGCGAGCCGAGAGATAAGATAATATTCTACGGTTTACTCGTTTGCACTTTGTATAATGTGCAGTTGCGTGTGTGTGTATATATAGATGCGCCTACTTAAATTAATAATGAGAAAGTCCGATAAGACCTACTAGTAGCAGAGGTTGTCGTACGTATATAAAGTTAGTATATAGTCGGAGTAGCAACAGCAAAACTCGCACAAGTCCAAGTACGAATTATATTTCGAAATGTCTCTCTCGCTCGCTCGCGTACCGATATAATATAGTGTCAAGCTCTCTTATATTCACATTTCGTCACTCGTGTACATACGCACGAGACAGCAAAAGATAGAGAGAGAAGAAAAATATTTTCATAAGCAGACAAGTGTGTAGGTTTTCACCTATACGCTGTGTTAGATAGATAGAGACGTATACAGGTATAAAAGCACACATTGTATAGATCGCGTCGAGTCTATACATAAACGTTGTGCATGCTATCCTGTAGTGTATGCTACGTGTGTGCATATGCATTTAATACTTTTAGCGGAGGAAAATTCTGCATCCCGCCTATATCGATCCGCGGCGCGCGTCTCTCCGTTCGCATGACATATATATATATACGTGTATATATGCAGCAGCATCAGCAGTAGCAGTAGTAGCAGCACATATACATTGCTCTTACGGTCGGTCGTCGGTCCTCGTCGTCTTTACAGGTCGTATATACACACACACACTTACACGAAAAACTCTCGAAATGTATACACAGACGCACACATACCCACACAGTCACGAGAGCAGGTACAGTCATCCGTGAAATGCCTTCGTTAAAAAGCCTAAAAATTGATCGACCACTGCCTTTTTTTTTATATACACACACAAACAAACGCACAAGTGCTGCTGCCGCTGCTGCTCACTTGTGGCGAATATATATATAACCGCGAATCTGTGTGAGTGTAAGCTCGCAGTACACGTATATGTTATAATAGAAGTCGAGTGTCTCCAGCGTGCGATGACCTATTTCGTAATGCGCGAGATTATACGTGTATATTATACACATACACAAGTATGGTCGAGAGTAAAGCCGCCGCGCGTGTATGTGTGTTATGCATGAATATATATCGGATTCAGACGGAACCCAAGAGGTCATAGGTCACGACGACGCGGCGATAATGTATAAAATGTCACACACATATACCTGCCAGCGACTACTTAAAACGTAAACCACCGCGACAGACGGACAAAGATTCGAAAAAAAGACGTTTGACACGAAGGAGAAAGAGTTGGGTGAATTGAGTAATACTACTAATTTTCGGAGTTGTGTTTCGTACCGTATCGTCTGCGACGACATTCTTCGCAGCATCGGTTATGTGTACTTTTTTCCCAGCCAGCGAGTGTAATGTATTGCAGCAAAGAGACACACGGCGAAATTCTTCTTCTTCTCCTTTCAACGAGACACTTTTTTTGCAGCTTCTTTCTTTTTCTGTCGCTTACGTTCACTATATAACGTGCACAATATATTTTTTTTTATATTTCTCTCATTCCCAGGCAATTAATATATTATCACACGATCACACATATAGGACGATTCCTCGCTTCATATGTAACAGCTCAATTTCATATATGACAGCTGTGTACGCCACCAAAGCACTGCACTTCTTTCGATGAATTTTGTCACAAGAGCACTTGTGCGTTTCTATCAACGCATTTCTTTTATTTTTCAAAAAATCGAAGCACAACACAATCTTCAACGATTTACATGCACGCACCTCTTCTGCGTTTTCGAAATCGATCTTCCGTTCGAAACCCGCGCACGTTACGTTAAAAACTTCATATAATATATTATAAATTCGAATTTAAAATTGGAAGGCAAGTAGAATCAGTCGTCCGGCTCTCTCGCAACTTATCAACGTGAGTTTCACTTTTCTTTTCGAGGAATCGAGGAAAAAACAAAATAAATAAACGTGCTCGCGACAATAAATGATGTACGACGAGTTTTGTGTTCGCGGCACTGATGTACACTGGAGGTGGCGGTCCCCGCGACTACACGGTGTCGTCTTCTCTCGCACACACGCAGTACGGGCAATAGTAGTAGCCGTCCGCGCGCGGAAAGCCGTCGACGACGCACACACACACGGTATAATACACGGAGACTGCAGAAAGAGAATAGAAAGAGAGATAGTAGTAGTAGAGAGAGAGGAGAATGTACCTGTGTGTGTGTGTATTAAAAGGCAACAACAACGACGGTTGTGCCCAGGAGAGGAGGTTATATTACATACGGTATATACGCGATCGGAACGAGGCAGGGTTCATCCCGCAACTGTCGGACTAGCCGGCGGTACGTGTGTGTGTTAGGTGGCGCCGTTTCGTTTCGCGACTCCCCCTCTTTTCTCTCTCTACTCTACACACACCACCAGCATCGTTGTTGCCGCCGCCGCCGCCGCCGCCGCACTTCTCCCGCTGCTTCCACTGCGTGCTATATATTCGCGTTTCGGTGCTGCTGCTGCTGCGCGCAAAACGCGCACGAGAAGGTATAAGAGGAGAGAGAGAGGAGAGAGAGAGAAACGGCAACGACAGCTTCGCAAAAGCAGCAGCAGCAGCATAGGAGCGCGCTATATAGCACACAGCACACACTGCGAGGCAGTGAACGCGGCCAGTCATTTATGCGCGAAAAGAGGGGAAATTCTCTCTACTCTCTGGCGTTGCCCAGGTAACGCAGCGGCGGCTTCGGCTTCTCTCTCCTCGTCTTTCGCCTCGGCTGCTGCGCGAGTACACTGTACCTATACGTGTGTGCACGAAAGAGAGAGAGAGAGAGAGAGAGATCGACCGATCGTTGCTGATGCCCCGGTGCTATGTACGCAGCGTAGCAGCAGCAGCACGTAGTGAGCGTTGAAAATCGTCATCTCCCTCTGCACGTTACAGGTCCGAGGATCGTAAACATACACGCACACACCATGACCAGGGAGAGCCATGGGCTGCGGAATCGAAATAGAGAAATCGTAGGTGCGCTCGCGACGGATTGCCATTTACTGCTGAACTGCGAATTCGACGTTATGTCGTTTTTGCAATTCCCATAAACGCCTCCGTGTACATACGTACACTTTGCAATACACCGCATATGTATGGTACTTCAAGTGCACAGACTCGTTGCAGACGCATATACACGTACATACCTATACCTATATAATATAACGCGCGAACGTAAACGACTCGACGGAGAAATAAAAGCTCGCGATGTATTTATGTTTGCCCTTCGGACAGGAGCTGCTGCTGCAACACAAGCTACAGCAGCAGCACGTAAGATACTGATCCAATCTCGCTAATTGAAAATACGTCGAGGTCTTGAATAATAAAAACGTACAAAAAATAAGACAAGAGAAGATGGCAATGATAATAAAAAAAATAAAAGAGGGAGAAAGAGAAAAAAAACTCGCCACTACGTACGAGTCGGTCCTCGACAGCGAGCGAGAGCTCGCTATATGTTATACACCTTCAGGCAAGGACACGACTAGCCATGAGCAGAAGCAGCTTCTCTCTCATCCATATGCATAATATTAAAAAACAATGTCTCGACAAAAGACTCCATTAATGCTAGCTTGGTTCAAAAAATAGCGTACATTATATTATACGGGGGATAAAAAACGAGTAAACGTGTACGAAACCATTGACCTGGCCTGACACCGAGCAGCGTTACCTATAGCGACGCTTCATGGCTTATAGCACTCGATTTTCACGTTAAATTGCGTTTTTCCAATTGCCGAGAGAGAGAGAGAAAGACAACCGTCGTCACCACCGACACGTGCGTGACGAGCGAGCTTCGAGCCGTACGATCGCTATAAAGCGCGGAGAGAAACCTTTTCCATGCACACGATACAGGCTAGTATAGCCGGTGGTATGGAGGTGCGAGCTTTTATATACACGGTAGTCGACACTTTTTATTTTCGTATAAAGTAAAAATCATTTCGATCGTACAGCGGGGCGTAAATGAAAACGAAAACTTTTTCGTTTCGTCTCTCCCTCACTCTCTACTTGTTTTTTTTTTTTAATATATACCTTTGTTGTCGTGGGTGAATTGTAATATATTATCGCGTATTCACGCTGGGGATCGTAGCGTTTATATAGCAACACACCCACATATATACATGCAAATGTACTACAAAGCTGCACAACGCTAAATCCTCCGCGTGCAGTTTTGTTATATCCCCGGAAAAAGCCCAATTGCCGACAGCAGCCTAGCTCCTGGTATACTACCGACTACCCTTCCCGTATACGTATATATATACGGTGTTTTCGAGCTTACACGCATACTACGATATTCTCCTATAGTATATAACGGTAGGCAGCCAAAAGCTCTAATTCAATTTGGCCCGAATGGCACACACAGATCAATGCGAGCTTGCAGGGGCCAGCGGCAGCGGCATGACTGCGTGTGTTTCCGTGTGTTCCGTGGGGAAAAAGAGAGAGAGAGAGAAAAAAATAATAATAATACCTCCATAACGATTCGGACGAGCCGCTCGATGGTGCACGCAGCAGCAGCAGCAGCAGCATCGAATGCTTGGCCCGGAATAATTTAACGCGCGCACCCCGCAGTGAAATAGAGCGGATGAACTAATTTGAATTATCAATTAAGCTCTGCGCGCTGTGTGGGCAGCCGATATATACGTAAGTACGATACGGCTACAATATTATAGCTGCTCAAAGTCGAGCGTTAAAAATCAGCCTCGGTGCTGCGTGTATAAATCAGCGATCAAAATCGTGAATTATGCGAAAAATTGAATTTCTCTCTGATGTTGCCTTCAGGAAGCTTATAATATTACTGGTTGGCGAAATATGACCTTACCGAGATGAACTCTCTGGGCTGCTCTTTGCCCGCCCAACAGCAGCTGTTTGCTCGAGGATAGAAATTTTCCATGTTATACGATGTGTCGCGTAGTCAGTGCTGAAGTGCAACAGTCAGGCTTCGAGGTTTTTAAATCCTGAGAAATTTTATTTTATCTTGTTCCTTACGCGGATCAAAGAGAATTTCCGTCGCGAGGGGGTGTACGAATTCTCAGCACTGCACCCCTTCTATAGAGCTAGGAAAATGAGTGAAGGAGAAACGAGATCTCAGCGTCAATCACAAAATTTCGATCGATACGAGATACTTTTTTGAATTAGCGTCGATTACTCGAATTTTCAAGTACCTGATTTTGTTGTCGTTGAACTCAAGTTTTTTCAGATACACGATTATTTTCAAGTGCTCGAATTTAATTTAGTTGATTGTTCAAAAGACAAGTATATTTCTATTACGCTGGATTTACACTTTCTAATCGTTGTCGAGTTTATTGTTGAGACCATAGTTATTAATATCGCACATCAAAATTATAAATATTAAAAAAAATTATTCTACAGTTCAAGTGAAAAAGTACAAGTACTATAGCTCAGCATTAATTTCTATGAAAGATACTTATAATACGTTTACGGAAGCACGTCAAGTTAAATATGGACAAAACGGTTGATAAACGTGATCGTAGATAAAGTTCTGAGCTGATTCAGAGCCGGTGATTATATACTTGTCAGATTGTATACGACAATAAAATCGACATTTAATAATCGATAAAATCACTTGTAATCATGCGTGTGCCTTACATATTCACTTATCGAGACAAAATCTGACTCTCGAGCTTTATTCTCTCTGTTTATAATCTCGTGACCGACAAAGCTCACACGCACACGTGCTACAATATTTACATATCATCTCGCTCTCGCGAGACAGTGAATTACACACTCATGAGCGTAAGTTAGATTAGTCGATTAATCGACTACTTATTTCGTGGAGTGCCTCGATACGTATCCGTGAGCGATGAAAAATCCATCCATTGTTTTCTCACTCGCTCGTTCGCTTTGCTCATTCCCCCCTTCCAAAAAGAGAGAGAGAGACTGGAGAGAAAAAGCTCGGTAGTCACGTTTCCGATAATCCGCCGATCTTTACTCCCTTTCTCTCTCTCTCTCTCTCTCTCTCTCTCTCTCAGTCTGTCTGTCTACCCTCGTTCTTCTCTCGTCTAATTTTCAGGCTATGAGAGTTCGCAATCCTTTCTAATTTACCCTGATTGGTCCCAATCAACGCGCTCGCTGATACGTGTGTGTGCGTGTATCCATGAATATGGAGAGGAGGAGGACGTGTACACGCACATACACACACACACACACACACACACACACACACACTCACGCGATGCTATGACAACGCGAGAACATACATCGAGCTCTTCATCGCGGAAATACGATTCATCGAATACCCAGCGTTTATACAGGGGCCGTGGTCGAGCTCTTTCAATCGATCCTTGGCACACACACGCGTAATGCGCACAATAATTTAGCCATGATGACGGTAGTTAGTTATATCGTCGATGACGGATCTACTTCTGTATAATAATCAACTCGCGTCTCTGTGCATCGAGAGCACGACGAGCTCCGATCGAGAGCCTCTTTCTCTCTGTATATTACATATCTGTATTTCTCTGGAAAGCGATTGCTTTACACGTTCGATTTTGCTTCGCGTCGTGCAATTAACGTGTACCCAAATAGACATATTTTAAATGATACGATAATCATAATAATACTTGTATTATGCTGGCCGGAATATTAATTTAGTCCTGGCACAAGTTTCGAATTGTATACGCCAGGTTTCATTAAATACGTAGCTGCTACGTGCGCGCATAACATGCGGCGAATACAATTGCTAATGTCCAAGTTTGTTTGACCGACCTTTCAAAGTTGCACATCTGTTACGCGGTACGTATACAATGCAACTTGTAACGTGCCAGTACGATATCATCTCATTCCTCGCGACGTAATTACTCCAAGAAGATATCACAGCGACGAATTGCAATAACAGTAATATCAATTCTGCGAATCTCATTGATTTTCCTCATGGCAGTTCGGTACAGCACGAAAATATATTACATTGCTGCAAGCACATCAAAGTCGAGCTTACGTAATATATTTGGTACGTACACAGTGGCCCCGAGCTTGCGACGTAAAAATAATAACTCGCCTCTGCACGCTTGCGTTTCGAGAGGGGGGACAAAAAAGTACAGAAATCAATCTATATCGTTTGGAAGATAAAAGCTCACGCGAAACCGAACGAAATTATACCGCAGGTATATAGAGGCTTGTAAATGTACGATCGGGGTACAAAATTTAGATGTATAACGACGAATAAAACGAAAGAATGCGCGTGAGCTAAGTCGATATAGATATTTTATTTCATATATTACGTAGCAGTCGTGATACACGCAGTGCACAATTGCTCGAGATGCGGTATA